CAGTAAGTATCCTTTATGTACCCAGAAAGTATCCATTATGTACCCAGTAAGTATCCATTATGTACCCAGTAAGTATCCTTTATGTACCCAGAAAGTATCCTTTATGTACCCAGCAAGTATCCTTTATGTACCCAGTAGGTCCCCTTTACGTACCCAGTAAATATTCCATTATGTACCCAGTAAGTATCCTTTATGTACCCAGAAAGTATCCATTATGTACCCAGTAAGTATACTTTATGTACCCAGTAAGCATCCTTTATATACCCAGAAAGTATCCTTTATGTACCCAGAAAGTATCCTTTATGTACCTAGAAAGTATCCTTTATGTACCCAGAAAGTATCCATTATGTCAAAGTCAGAGAGATTTGTCATTCGCATATCATGTGGTACATGTGGTGGAATGAGATTATGTACACAGGGTCCCAGTTACATCCAACAATAAAATGTGAAAGAAAAACATTGATAACATCTAAGATATGATCTAAGAAAAACATCAACTAAATATACACTAAGCACTAAAAGCATAAACATTACGTCGAACAGCAGCACAATCATGAGTCTGTGTGAGCAGATGAGCACGAATGAACACAGCAACATGAAACAGATCAGCAGCAACATGATGTGATGTACCCACTAAGTATCCTTTATGTACCCAGTAAGTACCTGATACCATGCTATATTGTACATTGCTGTTGAAATTGATATGATTCTAAAGAATGATAATAAAACGGGACAAAGTTGTCAGTAAAATATTCAGTTATTTACATTTTTCTCCTGTAAATAAAAACTCTTTTTTATGTTTTGTCTCCTGATGTTTTGATCAATACGTTTATATTCTTCAATTTATTTGAAATTGTTTTTTTGTTGTTTTTTTTAAGCTGCAGAACCTTCGTGGAGTCAAACATCAACTTTGTTTTTGCGCTGATAATTTTGTGCACGTTGGGTTCATTTAATCTCATCTGTTTAGATTAGTTTTTAATAAACAAAACAAAAAAATTATCAAAACAGAGTCTTGTTTTTACTGACGGCTCAGAGTGGGATTACTAAAATCAGGAGTGGATTAAAAGTAAACATATTCTAACCCGTTCTTTTAATCCAGAGTTTAGGTGCTCAACCTTTAAAACCTGGGTGGGACTAAACAACCTGTTCAGACGGGTTTTGGATCAGAACTGAGAAGTCTCGGCCAACACGTTCACCTCAATAAAAATGTTTCTTGTTTGTTTATGATGCAAAGAAATGCAAATTATTAATTTTAACTAATCATCGTATAGACCCTAAAACTGTGGCGTAAATAATAATTATAGCTGAAAATAAAGATTGTTTTAAACGTAAACATGACAAGCTGCACAGCTCGATGCCTCGTGGGTCAAAGACAAACCCTACTGACGTCAAGGTCAAAGGTCAAGGTCACAGGCCCTCATCTATGCTCCATAGAAACCTCCAGCCCTTTGTCCCTATGTGTCCATCTATAAGACAGTCCACAAGTTGTCCCTGGTCCAGCTGCACAGCTGTGGAGGACAGAAGACGTCCTCTGACTTCGTCTCCACCTCTGATCTTGCGTGAACGTTTCTGAGTCGTCCGGTTTTCTTCCGAACGTTTTTCAGCTCCTAACTCGATCCAGAGTTTTTGTTCCGTTTCAGCTGTTCATGTCTCAAAACGTTCGGCTCATTCAGGACATTCCTGCTCGGTCTTTTGGTTGTTGTACACATTTTACTTTTTGAAATATTCAGCTTTGTCGGCCATGTTTTGCTTTTTGAAAATTAATGGAGCTCTTCACATCCTTCAGCTCTTTGAGCTGTTCAAAACTTTTACTGCTCATTTTAGCTTTTTTTATTTTTTTTTAGTTTCTGCTAAATTCAGCTACAATTTTTTAAGACATATTTCTGCTCATTTTAGCTTTTAATCCTGCTTTTTATTTTATTTTTTTTCTCATTTTGGCCTTGTGGACTTTTTTTTTTAATACTAAAAATTTCAATATTTATGTTTCTTTCATCTTTTGTCTTCTTTCTGACAAAAAAAAAGAAGCTTTTTTAAGCTTTCGGCTACTATTTAGCTGATTTGAGCTTTTTTTGTTTGTTTTACTCTTTTGTTTCTTTTTTGCTCGTTTCATATTTTTTGCAATATTTCAGCTGATTCTGCTCATTTCAGCTGCTTTCATTTTCCAGCTTTCATCAAATGTCAGCCGCTCACATTGAACCCTCGTTAGCGAGTTGTTAACGAGCGGTTCTGGTGAAATCTACATCACAAAACGGTTTAGGCCTAAAACTGAGGCCTCGGCTCGTTTTGACCCAAGGGCAGCAGGAACAATCACAAACTCATGATGAGACGGAGTCCAGGGCGTTTTGGTTAAACCCTCTAATCATCTCTTATGAACAACTCTCAGCTACTACCACTTCATATTTCACTTTAATAAAACTGTTGTCTTATGTTGTCTAAGATCAGCTGGCTGTGGCGGCCATATTGGATCGGGTTGACTCCAAAAGTTAAAGAGCTGTAGCTGCACATGTACTGATCACTTCCTGAAAGTTTCAATAAAATCCGTCCGGTGGTTCGTAAGATATTTTGCTAACAGACAAACCCGCGCGCACATGCGGAGCGCTTACGTTTGCATCCCTCCTCCTGTGGGCGGGTCCGGTTCGGACTGTGGGCCCGGCCTCCGTGAGTAAAAACCTCCGCCCACCTCCTCCTCCTGTCACACGGAACCGAGCCGTGAGGAGAACCGCAGACCCGCCGCTGCGCCTCCGTCCAGCTGTGCGCACATCTGCAGCCGGAACCGAACCGGGAACCATGGCTTCGAAGCCCGCGGAGAGCCCGAAACTGTCCGAGGAGCAGGTCCGAGTTCTGGAGGAGAACTTCAAGAAGGTGAGCAGACATCCGGACGGGACGACGCTGCTGCTGATCGCTGCGGAGTGCGGCCTGACGGAGGAGGAGACGGAGGTGAGTCCCTCACCTGGACAGGTGAACCGCACCTGGACAGCCAAAGGAAAACATCCTCATAAAAAAATCTAATTTTAGGGATGAAAATAGTTTCAAAACAAATAAGCAACCTGTCGTTTTAAGGTAGCCGATGTAAAGTCAGACCGGTCACATAAATTAATAAAAGAGCCAAAATGTCACCGGGGCCACATGTGCCATCAAGTTGAGCCATTGTTGCCAGATGTACGATAAATACCGTATTTATACGATACTTTGAGAGTCTGTATGATGAACCGTTTTGAAAAAGCTACAAAATACAAAAGTTAGTCGAGAACAACGTGCCCTCACTCAACACGTACAATAGTTTGGGTCGAAATGCAGCAATTTTAAAGCAGCAGTACAATATTTCATCGTTTTCTATCTGGCAACCCAGAGCTGAGCACCTGATGCGTGTTTAGTTGGACGCACATAAAGTCAGGTAACGATGTGGACGCGCTCAGGTCTGTGTGCTCGAGTTGGCACGATGTATGGCAGGCAGTTTTATTAAATAATCCAATCACAGAAACACTCCTACTGGTTAAATGTTTAAATATTTACAATCACATTATTACAAGAACATATTAACATGCAAGATAGTTCCAGTTGTAGTAAAAATAACTTTAAAAAGTCAGACTTTTGGCCTGCGTTACCAAAGAATACTGAGTACACAGTAATTTTATGGGAACAGTATTAGAGAGATTAATAATAATAATAATAATTTAATTTGCAATAATTTACAGGAAAGCCTTATAAGGACAAAAGTCTCAAAAGAGGCTAAGAAGGCAAAAAAACATCTGGTTTCAAAGTGAACAGGAAACTTTGCTTTTAAACCTTCGTGCTGTCGCCAGCTTCACATTGTAGTTATTTCAGATAGGTAGATATTCCCACATAAAGTGTCCCCAGGCTACACTGGAAGTGCTGCAGCTAGCTGTTGCTGCCATCTTTGCTCATTAACAGCCGTAGTAGAAATCAAAGAAAATAATCAAATATCATGAATGTGGTTTAGCTATTAGCTCGTCAGTTCAGTCAGAATTAAACTTTTCAGGTCTCTCTTGTAAACGAGTCCTCGAGACTCGATGGGATTTACCTGTCTAAATAAAGGTTGAATGAAAAAATAACTAAAAACGTTCCTGGAGAAACAACGGCAGTCGTTTAAAAAAATAATAATTTGCTTTTACCATATATTGGGAATTATTCTCAGCTGCCGTATCCTAAATTCAGCTCAGCATGATTAAAAATGATTATAGTTTTAACCATTTAGCATTGGCAGCCATCTTTTTGATTTGCACTCAGAACATGTTGGGGATTGCTCTCAGCTGCTACCGTACCAAAATTTAAACCTCATCATCTCCAGGAACGACTGTTATAGTCAATTTTGTGTTTTCTGGGGTAGCTGTGGCGGCCATCTTAAACCAAAATGACTCCAGAAGTTCAATAATTTTAGAAGTGCATCCAAAAATTATGAACATGTTGACTTATTAGTAAAAAGATGGGAGTGTGATTTAATTATTTGATAAAACTGCTTGCCATACATGGTGGCAAGTCGAACTGCGTGCTCAAGATGACAGCATCGTAAATTCATCACAACAAACAAAAACAAATGTGTTTGTTTACAAACAGAAACAGTCGAAGTGATTGTAAATAGGTAACGTCCATGGAAGAGCTCTTCTGGAGTGGAAAAGTTTTAATGTTTTGTATTTTCCTTCAGGTTTGTTTAGTAAAATATACAGATTAAAGCGCTTTGTTTACTTTGAGGGCGTACCCGCAGTTCAGGAATGTGTATCAACGTATCTGGAAAACTACCGGAGTAAACCCATTCAAACTGCACCGGCATAGTTTCCGGTGAATCCTTATAGCGCGACCTTAAAGCTACTTTAATTTATATAAAAGTACACTCGCTGCTCGAGTAACTCTGTCATTTGTTGAGGTTTTGCTGCGACGGTAAAAACACGGGACAGAGCGCGGAAGCAGTGTTCAAGTTTAGAGTTATTTGTGCCCCTTTCGGACGACTTCTGCGTAAATAAGCACAAATTAAAAACCCGGGGCGTTTGCGTCTTCCTGCTGTAAACACAGAACCGAGCCCGACGCGGCTCCCGGCCGTAAGCAGGTTTGTTGTCGACTGAAGAAGCGCCGCTGGTCGTGGAGGCGGCGCCTCATCGAGTCACGTTAGAGTTCGATTACGACGGTAAAACACTGATTCACTGAGCTGCTGACACCATCACCTCGGGACTCGCTGCATGATGACGTCATGTGTTCAAACTTAATCTGTTCTCCCACGTTTTACTTGTATAAAAAGCAAATAGCCGAAGCTGGACCATCCCAGCAGCAGCAGCAGTTGATAAAAATAACCTGGTCTAAGTTATAGTTTGACACAGTGAGGCGTTTTAAATTTAGAAAGCTTCACTTGATCTCAGATTTACGATCCTTATCGCTCCCGCTATCTGAAGAATTCCTCCAGCCTACTGTAAAGTAGTGCACATCTGCTGCCAGATGTGCAGCTTCGGTGCTCCGATGACGGAGCAGTTGAGCAGAAACCTTCAAATGAATTGCTCTGAGCCGACCAGTTTCACTCAGAGAACCTGGATTTTGGAGTAAAGACGGTTCGAGCCTTCCCTGTGGCTCGACCCATCCGCTGTTTTTCACCTTACAATTTATTCTTGCGGTTGTATTATCGAGGTGACAGATGGTTGGTGTTCCGTCTCATGGCAACCGAACAAATATTTTACTAAACAATCAGCAGGACACGTTTACCGCTCCGTCCCAACCAGCCGGTCCCTCCACATTTCTCTGAACTGAACGTCAACAAGAAAAACCACAAGCTGATCCGTGCGACACCTGTACCTGTTCGGATCGGAGCTGCATCTGCAGTAATGAGGGCGTCGTTACAGTTTGTTGTGGTGAAGGAAGGGCCAAAAGGCAGCGCTCTTGATTTACTGGTCTGTCTATGTTCCTGTGCCATGAGGTCATGATGTAAAGGACCTGGATTCAAACGCTCAGCCTCAGAAACTGGCTGAGGAGCTCAAAGTCGTGGGATCTGACCGTGGTACCCCCCACTGGAAGGAGACCCTGATCCAGAACTCACCGGAGAGTCTTCTCTGTTCTGTTGCTTCTGCTGCAGAACAGAGCACAACACCCACCGGTGGGGATCATAGTCGGTCCTGGTCCTCGAGGGCCTGCATGACGCACCTGATCTGAACGAATCAACAGCCTCTGCAGAACCTGAAGACCTGCTGAAGATCAGGGAAACGGCTGAAACCTGGAGGATAGTGGCCCTCGAGGACCACTGGTCTAAAGAATCAGACCTTCAATCCTATTGTGCCAGTCCTGTGACTGGTTTGAAACCATCATTGAGCCGACCCGAACTGTGCGCCTTCACTCTGAAGTGGTTTTATCTGCAGAGCAGACGTGAACTCTGCGTTCGTTTGTTTTGATGTTGTTTTTTTTGCGCAGCACGAGCCTCTGCCAAACCGCTGAGGACCTCAGTTACCGCCGAGCTCAGTCTTCACCCCATGACATCAGAAACGATTCATTATCCGACCTCAGAGGCTTGTAACCCAACCCGTTCTGCGTTTCCATTCAGTGTACACAAAGGTGGGAGAAGCCGGGCCAACGGGGGAAGCCCAGTCCAGGCAGGTGTGGCCCTTCATCAGAAAGTCCTGACTTTAACTCCTCTTCCCTCCCACCGCCTCCCTCCTCGAGTGTTTTGTTTGTTAACAAAGAGCTCGTTGGAGAAGGTTTAGCTGAAGGGACCCAACCCGACCGCCACGCCCCGTTTCCCGCTAAGAATGTTTACAGCGCGCCCCGACCTTCGCGCAGAGGGTTTAAACTTGGCACGATGCATCTTGTTTTCCACACTGCAGCCATTCAACGAGAAGAAAGCCAACACCGCCGAACGGCACAAAAGGACTTCTCATTATTTTCCATGAATAGTTTGCGTGTAACGCCTTCCCGAATCGAAGTCAGAAGCTGTTCCTGATTCAGTTCCTTCATTTCTAAGTGCAGATGAGAATCTCATGTGTTTTCAGTAAAAAAAAAAAAAAAAAAAAAAGTGGAAAGTGTTCCTCCTCCGTGACACACGGCTCCAACAAGCAGCCTCAGTCTTCAGTCGGGGGCCTGAATTCCTCCCTTTCCACTTCTCAGGGTTGCGTCAGCGTTGTTGCTGTGGATCCCCTGACAACACCAACTGCAAAACAGCAATGCGATAAGTCAAGGGTGTGTGTTGGGATCTTTGCACAGTCATCCTCTGGTTGGAGCGCAGTGTGGCAGTTGTTGGCCGAGCGCTCAGAGACGTCGAGAAATTAAACAGAAACACAAGTTTTCTGTGGTTTTCCTGAGAAAACTCAGCCTCAAATACAACCGCCGTGAGTCAGAGACCACATCTGAATACACCCAAAAATGTGACGTGGTCGGACTGAAGTGACCACGCAGGGACTTTTATTTGCATTTAATATACTTTTTTTTCTTTCTAAACTTTGACTACAACTCACATATTTTGTAAAACTCACAATGTAAATATGTCAAGAGATGGAGCTGAATATTAAACAAACTAATCTGCCAAAAGTGAAAACAAACAAAAAAGAAGTGTAAAACAAGCCATTAGCCTACATCTGGATTAACATACAGAACTACGCGTACATTATAAATTAGTCAAAAAAACTAAAAGTTAATGCAAATTAATAGTTTTTATGTAAGATATAAGAAAAACAGCAGGCTATATTTAAAAATCGGTATTAAATTAATATAACTTACACACAAACTTTAGCGGACGTTATCAGAAATTAGCAAAAGTAATTGAATTATTTCAATAACAAAATAATGGAAGATAGAAGTTAACGTAAATGCTAACAACTTAACTTTAGCATGTTTAAATGATTCCTGTTTAGGTTGATGACGTCTTTTAAATTTAGAATAAATAGCAAATTATAATATTCAATATCATAAAGTCTAACAATCTGCTGTTAGCATGCTAAAGAGACATGGATGGCAATGGTAACTAAAATATAACTACAGAAGTCCCTCGCTACTTCTCGGTTCGACTTTCGTGGACTCGCTCTATCGCGGTTCTTCAAAGTAAGAGTGGCCATGACACACAGTTGGCTGATTGATGGATGAGCCGCACAATCTTTTATTTAAAATAAATTATTTTAAATTATTTAGCACCTGTGTGCAGCCCACCGCTGCAGGAGAAGCTTCCTCCTGCAGTGTGTCATATCTCTGCTCTGCAGCAGAGAAGTGGGCGTGGCCGAGAGCGCTGGCAGAGAGAGAGCAGCCGGAGGCAGAGAGAGAGCAGCCGGAGGCAGAGAGAGAGCAGCCGGAGGCAGAGAAAGAGCAGCCGGAGGCAGAGAGAGAGCAGCCGGAGGCAGAGAGCAGACATCATGACATGCTGTGCTCTTAGAGCATTTAAAGCTTAGAAACATTGTTTAGAATATTGCAAGAGTGTGGGAAGGGTTTAAAATGCCTATATATATATATATATATATA